AAAAGCCCCCGCCTCCGATAAAGAGCTGCTGCCCACCTGAAACTTAGGATACACAGTAATCCTGCAGAGCCGTTCAGCTTTGAAAATGAAAATTGCAAGGCCTGGCTGCATGTTTCTTGCCGAGAAATCATGCTTGCAGCCGATTCCAGCCCTTTTTGGGGACTGCATCTTGAAGCCAAGCTTGAAGCTATATGGCTTAGAGTGCAGGGTTCGATGTTCGAGTGACACCCTATCAATGCAGGCAATGGGACACGGAAAGTGCAACGCCTGTTTGCGGTGATGGACTTTGAGCTTCTCCTTATCGGGGCCCAGGGCTCGTCTGGCTTTTCATCGTAGCCAACATCAAACTGCCCAGAAGCGAAAACTCTGGCAGACAACATTGCCGGTATTTTGCGGAAGGCCTCATGCCGAGTGCAGGCGTTGAGCTCCAAGCCACCTTGCCTTAGTCTGGTATCTCATGCTCTTAGCGCCCCCGAACCCAAAGCCACAACAAAGCACAGTGAACTGCACCACCACCCTTATGAGCCCTGGGAACAGCGTTCGCTCTGATTGCAGTTTTCATTCGCGTAATCCTGTTCTCATTCTTCTATCCGGGCCCCAGTCAGACACTGACCTTGGAGGGGCAGTTCTTGCCGCTCCATCGCCCGACCTACGACAGCCAGCTGAGCGCGTCGGGCCAATACCGCTGCCTGGATTTGGATTTTGCGTGTAATGTTCACCTCATTAAAAGAAGACCCTATCCCCCCCAACCGGAGAATGTGGGACCGAGCCTCCGTGATTAAGGGTATCCGGGTCGATGAGCTGGAGCACCAGTCGTCGCAGCCAGTAGCAGCAGTAGTAGTAGTAGTAGTAGTAGTAGCAGCAGTAGTAGTAGTAGCAGCAGTAGCAGCCAGTAGCACACATTGCTGTTCCCGCGCTCCCAAATTTGTGCGTTTTGGCGGATTGGATCTTGCCACCCCGGGCGGGTTTGTATCTACGTTCTGGGATTTGGATTTTGAAGTTAGGCGAGGGTTTCTTAATATGAGCTTAGCGTTGTGGTTTCCACGTTTGCATACCCTTTTTGTGGGTCCAATTCATTATTGACAATGCGCTTCATGTTCAGAATGTTTGGGACCTCTCACCTGTGTGGTTGCCATATTGCTGGATTTTCTCCAAAGCTTGTTGCGGATGTTTGCAAGGAGTAAACCCTGTTGCTAGCATGCACTTTGGGATGCATCACAGCTTGGTCCTGGTGTACTCAGCTTACTTATCCCGATTCAGTGATATTAGCGTTGCGATCTTCTCCAGCATAAGTACAATGTTGCAGATGACTTTTCATGGCCTTGAGGCAGGAAACGACTCTTGCGCCATGTACTGGTGCCTGCCTGATAACATGCGGCCCACAGCTTTGTCATTACAGCATGTAGCAGATCACGGCCAGTTTGTGATATTGTGAATCTAACCTTGTCAAACCACTTCGCATGGGGCCACCTTTCTCATCTCTATTTAGGGGTTGGGTTGGTATACTTCATCTGGGTTTGCAATACGTTTTGCTTCCTGGGCTTGCAATTTTCTAGGTGACTTCCGGGTCTGAACTCCAAAGCCCTGAAAAAATCCCAACACGCGCACGAAGTGACCCTGAGGTTATGGAGGCATGTTTAAAGGCAAGAAGCGGCTCTGGGAACTTCGTTTCCGTTTGGAGCCCCTTGACTTGATTGACCAGAAAGGGCCAAACTGCCTCATAGAACAGTAATCGTCGCAACAGCAAAAGGCAAGCTAACCATTCTACCAATGAAGTCCGGAATTGTGGCGTAGTCATGCCGTTCTGAACAAGTTGTACATGAAGCAAGTAGCTATGCTTCGTGAGGTTGTGGTAAGGCCTTTACGTGGTTGTCGCGCAGTCGGCAAAACGTCTTGTTCGTCCGTGTCTTGCACATGCGCCTTTCAAGCTCCATGCACTTGTGTCTGAGAATTGGGACCCTGTTCAGAGCTTAAATTTCATGCTCTTGAGGTACACACGGGCCCTGCCTTGAAATATGGCATTTTCTGACATGCATGGAATCAATAACGAGCTCAAACATCAATCTAGCATCTGGATCCTGGAGATGTGAGCCCGCGACGCAACGTACCAGCAAGGATGACACTTCCTGAGATGCATTCTAACCATCCTGGCAGGATGCTTTGCGGTAATTTTCAAATCCATTTCAGTGCTATCCATGATTTTTGGTATTGCCGCATCAGCTCCGATGCGCTCAGATCAGCATGTCGTGATACAACTGAGCAGAGATTCTACCTGCACTTAGTTTTTCCTTGAAGCCTGGTGTGATCCTGAACATGTCAGAGGACAGTTCAGAGTGCGTCAAAGTGACAAGGATGTTCGTTTCCTGCCCGCGGGCACGTCGGCTCAAAGGAACGCCGCCGGGCTTCCACGTGTTTCAATCGCTGGTGCCTCTTTTAGACGTGGTCGCTACAGCATTTAAGTTGCTACAGCATTCAAGTGCAGCTTGTAGACATCTCTTGCTCGCATTTAGAAATCCCTGACTTCATCTTGCCAAGTTCTTCATCCAGAATCACCATGCAGCATGCAAACCGGCCACGCGCCGAAAAGGGCGTTGCCCTGCACATACTGCAGAATAAGGGTTGTACCTATAAGGGAACGTGATTGCAAATCCCAGCTTTGCAGCGCCCCCCTACGAAGCGCATTTGTTCCAAATGGCGACCAGTGGAGACATCCATGTACCAGCTCCAGAGGAGATTCCATGGCCCAGGTTCCTGGGGTCAGCGGTTCTCTCAAGTATGGGGCTTATTATCGGGGTCTTCATAGCAGGATCCGTGCATTCTTTGTGGGATGTTTGCAAGGAAGCATGTATTGACACTACCGTGATGTTTTGGAAGTATATGGGAGGCGGCCAGCCCAGTAGGCCCACGGAGGTAGTATGAGGCATCTGTTTTATTCTGTATATTTTATTCCGGATATTTAATAAATCTAATCAGTATATAAAATCTCCTCCATCAAAGCACTCTGCCGCTGAATGACTGTAGAATGAGTATTTGTGGTGTTTCGTGTGCAGGGTTAGGTTCCTGGGTTTTAGGGCTATGAGGTTGGAAAGGCTTTTAGGTTTTAGGGTTATGGGCTTGGATTCAGGGTTCGTAGTTTAGGGCCTCTACTCTCCGCTCCCTTTCTCTCTCTCCTTCTCCCTCTCTCTCTCTCCCTCGCCCTCTCCCCTCCCATCCACTCCTCTTTTCCTTCTCTCCTCTCCTCTTCCGGGGGGGCGGGGCACGCGTGGTAATCTTCCGCTTTTCTTGCGTGCGGCGGGCCTCGCGCGCAGCTAAAGCAGAAAATTACCATGCAGGCCCCGTCACCTCTCCTGTCTTCTCTTCTCTCTCCCGTCTGAGAGGAGAGAGAGAGGGGAGAGGAGAGAGGGGGCCGGCCCGCATGCCAATCTTCCGCTTTTCCTGCGCGCGCCAGCCCGCGCGCGCAGAAAAAGCGGAAGATTACCGTGCGGCCCCGTGCCCTCTCCAGTCTCCTCTCCTGTCTCCTCGCGCAAAGGAGACAGGACGGGGCGGTTGGGTTTCTTAGTAAAACAAGTTGCGGCGGGAAACGGGTATTCATACCAATACTAGCACTAATTATGTATGATTACTGCTTCTATAGCGAAAGTAACATTATCATTATCGCCTAATGCTTGTTCGGGTGGGGTCCTGTCAAACTTCTAGGTAACAGTAGTCTTCCGCGTGTCATAAAATTGGGCGGCCAAACCGGACCCCTCACGGAGATAGTATGAGATACCTAATTGATCGGAAAACATCGACGTTGCATGAAGAGTGCATGCGGACAATGTGTCCCCTTTCTATGCCAAATCTTGATCATGGCTTGTTTGTAAACTGAGTGCATGGTGTGGGATCATGGTTTGTTGCCGACGCCTGCCTGGATTTCCTTTACCGCGCAAAGCATTCTCCGAGTACGGCTTGACATGAGATGCAGCAATAGCTTTCGCTCAAAGTTCCATCCATATCTCAGCATGATGGCCATACACAGAAGCCGGCTGACAACCTCTGACGTTTACGGCGTATCATCATTCCGCAAGGAGCCATATTTCGATCGCCGCAAATTTTGCTGGGCAAGTAGACCCAATATTAAGGCTACCGCGCGCTGCTTCGGCTTGGCTCGGTGAGCCGGTAAGGCTGGACAAGCAAAACGCCTGAACGCTGAACCTCAGAACATCCAAATCTTGAACTGCAGCAAGGGCTTGAGCAGTCTTTGGAAACCGGCTCTCAGGGCAACCGCCTCCCGGAGACCGCCCATAAGCTTGGGAACACAAGGGCGTGAAAGCTCAACTCTCTCAACTCGAAGCGCAACAAGCATGGGTCAGCTTTTTGGAGAATGCCTCCCATGTGGAGTTCCCCCAGGGCTACATGCTCAAAACCAGATGTGGGTGTCGGCACACTCGGACAACCGCCCGCTGGAAGGGGAAGGGAGGTGAGCAGAGTTTCCGCCCAAATGCCAGAGGCCCGGGCCTCGGTGGACTGAGCATCACGGGTATATGCTGGTTGATGACAATCCATCAAACAGCTACGCTGCCCATATCAGCTCAATATCACTCCCTTCATCCTGATCGTTCAAAATCATTTTTTTGAACTAGGCTCCAGGCATTTATGATTGTTGCCCTCGTTGCTTCAGCACTGACATGCTCCTGATATCAACAATGACAGGCTCATGGCTGTAGGTCCCATCGACGTGATGAACCGTGTTGCTGCGTATCAGCACTCAAACGTCTGTGATGTTTCTAACAAGGGGCAGTGCCTAGTCACCAGTCATGTTGTATGGTCATACCTATGACTGTTACCACCATACTGTTGAGCTTGTGCACAAGGTTATGTAGATTTACTGGTACATAGCTGTCAAGCCAGGTTCTTAAACATGGCTGAGCCGATTCCGGAGGCTTTGTCGCTGGGGCCCTCGTTAAGCAATCATGTGCTTTGCATGTTGCCAACTGTCAAATGAAACTGGTAGTTGCAGTATGAATAGCATATATTATGCAGAAGGTGCAGTCTATAGGCTTGGGCAAGTGGACAGCAATGATTCGGGTGATTTCCACTTCTCAGAGCAGCAGAGGCCAGAGGTGGCATACCGCAGCAGCTCAGGGGAGTCTGGTGGCAGCTTCACAATCCAACTTGGCCCGACTTCTACGCTACCAGGAAGGTTGGGAACTTCGGACCCGGCAGCTTTGAGAATGTCGCGGCGCAATATCACATCCTGGGCGAACTGCGCGAGCACGGCAAACTGTGTGAGTCTGAGAGACTACATGCGGTTTCGCCCACCTCTCGCGCAAGAAGAGCCCCAGCTCTCCTTTGGGAGTGCACTCCATGTTGGAGATGGCGTGAATGCAATGTGCTTGGTTTGCAGTGCCCTAGCTGCACTTAGTTTTCCCAAGCAACAGCGCTTGGGGTGTTGCAGAGTATTAAGCCGAGGACTTCGGGCTGAGCAGCCTGTGCACAAAGCATTTGGTGGGATCAAAAACACGCAGGTTTTAAAGGAACTTCAGTTTCAAGGAAGCCGATCCATCTCAAAAGGCCGCCATGGTTTGCTTCTACTCAGAGCTGGGGACTAGCACTTGTTTGCTATAGCTTCATTGTTTGCATGTGTCTCATGCGCCATTCGCTGTAAATTGTAGATTGTTGGGCCACATGTATTCTATGACTAATGCATTTAGACTTCCACGATTTTACATGAAAGGGGGTGGGCATTTGGCTCAGGTTACCACAAGCCTCCGCTGCGCGTTTGTAAAAACGGAGCCTTTTGCGACTTCTGTCATCTACATGATGGGCGTCGAAACCGACGTCGAAGGCATGCTCGCGCAACTGGGTCAGGGCAGGAATGTTTTTTAGGCGCTATGTGAGGGATCGTGCTGCAAGTCGCCACAGAACAATCATGCGCTCTTCTTGCATGTAAGGATGCCACCGGCCGTATGACCTGGGCTGACACTGAGATACAAGTTTTGCAGAGCATTGACTTGTAGTTTCCAGGCTTCCATATGTAGGATTCTGAGAAAACTTAATCCTACAGCAGAGTACGAATAAATTCTTGGCTAATGATGGCGGAGGATATCTTGCACCACCTCGCAAGCGGAATATATTTCAGTCGTGGCCGGTCATTCTTGTCTTCATCATTACCCCTAGAGGTTTGATCATTAGGCTCTTCTTACTGTTCGTATCACTGCAGCCTATGCTGCCACTGTAACTGCTCTTGGTGCAAGATGCAATCCATCATCTTGAAGGCCAGCACCCCAGCTCTGCCGTTGCTTGCAACGAGCAGCGTTCTTATGATTTGAAGCTGCCTCAACAAAGCTTGGTTCCTTGCGCTCCCACGTGTCATCTCTTTGAGTCGGGCTGCAGAAAGGGACCAGTATTTGGCGGCACCTTCGAATCGGGAACGGCTCTCTGGCGGCTGGGGTGTTTATGTTATGAAGACTTTCGGATCTCAACTCACAAATTTCAGCCCAATCACCGCTCCTTCTCATCTTGGGTAATTAAGCATGCACGCCATTTTACCTGAAAAGGATCTTTTGTTGTTTCGAGGAGGCTGGTGGGGCTTCAAGAACAGGCTGTCGGTGCCTATCAAGAGCTGGCCAGCAGCTTCCCCTTTCCACTGCAAGGCGTTTAATCAGGGCCAGCATGTGAGATGCAATATGTACCACTAGTTCATGTCTAGGGGCTCGGTCTGAAGATCGCCGTGGTGAAGGCATTTGTCGTGTCTTCAGGGCATTTTCTTACATGTTGACCCGACTGACTCGAGCAACATTTCAGAATTGGACCAGGCGACAGAAAAAAACTGCGTGCCTTTGATTTGCCATCCGATCAGTCTTGCTTTGCGGATTTGCTCTCAGAGGTACGTGGCTGTGTGCCTTGCAACATGTCAGTCAGCTGAGCTCTGCAAATCGACGCACTTTGCAGTGGTCTTAGCTTTGGTAGCAGACTGCTCTGCCGGCACCTCTTGCTTTAGCTGCCTAGTGCAGGTTGGTTTCTCTGAAGTTTGCAGCGATGCCGTCGAGTTGTGATGCGGGATTTTGAACAAACGGATGACAATCCAAGCAAAAGCTCTGGAAGCTAAGTCTGCCGGTCATGCTTTTGCTGAATGTGTGGGAATGCTGGTTTCTGATGCGTGCAGGGCTAAGTCTTGGCGGTTCTGTCCATCATTCAAGCGTCTGACATCAGGGGTGTCCGATGCAAGACTCGCACCTGATATGGGAGTTTGCCTGTTTTCACTGGATTACACGTCCCTATGGTGGGCTATTCTAATATGAGTTCCTATATAAACCCCATTTTGGCAACAGGAATTCAGGCCAAGTCCCAGATGCCTCTCAGAATCCTCTCAGCAGCCTATACCAACGCCTGCCTGTCAGCTTGATTATTACAAGCAGGGGACTATCAGTGGTGCCCGGGTTGCTGCGGTTGAGGCCCCTGTGATCAATGTAGCAGCGATGCGTTCAGTTGTTCCATCTTGCAGCATAACCACTTGGCCTGCAATTTCTCAAGACATGTCCATCCACTCAGGTTCAAGCGGCCGCTGAGACAGGCTCTGACCCCTGAAATATAGGGTCGATTGCAGAGGTCTTAGCCGCTAATCTAGACCAAGCTGGAAGATGCGCAAAGACTGAAGTTGTCAGTGCTTGCTCCATCTGGCTTTACTTGTTGGCCATATAGTCACATAGTTGTTCTGATGTTTGTGTTGTAGGACCCGGAACCCTAGCATAGAATGAGTTGCGCCAGAAAGGACCTGCAACACGAGCTGTAGTTAGCTGGGTATCTGTCTCCTTGCTTGAAGATAGGGCTTCGGGATTTGAGTGCCGCATTTGCAAGAGCCCATGAGCTGCATGGCTGAGCAGCCAGAAGGCCTTCAGTTCCAGGTCCCTTCTGTATTCTGTAGCCCAACAGCAACCTAGATGAGTTTTGACGGCATAGCTCGGCACACGTTGAACACTCGAACTGAGCCATGGCCAGGCACCTCCTTCTCAGTCAATGCCAGACAACCCATATCCAAATGTACTCCCCAGAAACCCTTACAGGTTTGCCTCTGTAGAGGAACGTCTGGACTAAGAAAACATGTAACCTCTGCATACTGGGTAACACTCGAATCAATTCGAAATAGCGAGCAGCAGCGCCAGCGGTCAGCCGTCAGCCACGCCAACCCAACCCAAACCCTGCCAAATGTATCCCAAAAGCCGTTCACGGGCGGCCAAAGCCAAGCCAAGCAATGAAAGCAACGAAATACCAAAGAAAAACCATGTGAACTTATTCCCCGACATCCTGAAGCTTGGATTGCAAGCGCTGTCTGACCCAGCCCTTTGAGGACACCAGCCTTTGCTTTTTGCTTCCCAGCCTCTTTGCTTACCCGGGGAAAACTTGAGAAGCAAGTAATCCTGAATCGACACAGGGAGGTGGCGCAACAAGTGGTCCCAGCTTTGTTTGTTTTGTTTTGGGGGCACTCTTCGTTGACCTGACTCCGCTGGTGTCCTGCGGTCCTGAGCTTCGGCAAGGCTGACCTTTTCTTCGGTGCCGAGCTAGAGGCAGAGCTTCCCGGGTTTCATTTTGATGGGCTTGAGGTTCGCGCGTCTTACGATTGTGGGTCTAGAAAGCCTTCATGTTGGCTGAGTTTGGGCTTTCACTGGATCTTGAGTAGGGCAAGGTACATTGAACAAGCCACTCGTAGTAGTTGTGCTTCTCTAGGGAAATTGTTTGGGAGATGGAAGAGAAGAACCCAATAGACTTTGCCATGCAAAGTGTTGTGTAGACTTGCGTAAGCACGCGTAGGCCGTCTTATTTGCGAAGCCGGCACAAGCTGAATGTTCCACAAGGTACATAAGAAGGGTGCTGCGCATGTGCTAATAGGCCAGAGATGCTGCGAAGCCCGCTAACTACAGATGATACCACGCAGCCGGCTTAGGCCCAGAGCATTAGCATAAGGTATTGCTCATGTGAGATCACGGTACTGTGCCCATATTATAGGCCCAGGGCTCGGATTTCAGGAAGGTCGGCTAGGATTTAAGGGTGCAGTATTTGGTGCCAAAGCCTGCCTTTCGGTTTTTGCGCAGCTCCTGCGGAAGCCCCGAAACCAGTCTTCAGTAGTGCAGGTTCCTTCATAATAGATGGTGAAAGGGCCCCAGCTGACGCTGCCCGCAGGCTGCCCCACACGATCAATATCCAGAAGCCTACCAAGCTGAAAAGCTTAATTAGATGATACGAAGCAAATGAGGTTGCTGGCCGTGTCAAAGGTGCAACGCAGTCGGACATGAACTGTATAATGCTGGGCAAGAGGTGAAGCAGATCCCGCCATAACATCGTCAGACATTGTACACTCACAGTTTTCACCATGGACAGGCTCTACGAGACACAGCTTGCCACACAGCTAATTACAGTTCCATAGACATCCCCGATGGGAGCCTGCGCCGTTTTCCAAAACAGTTTGCCCCTCAAGCAATTTGCTAAGCTATTCCTTCAAGGATTTGAAGACTTTCCAGAATTGACCCGTTCCGTATTTGAATGTGACACACGAAAGCCCAAGACCTGGAAATCCGCAAGCCCTAATGCCAGGAATACGTGCCGCTGAGCGCTGCGACAAAGCGCGCCATGGAGTCTTGATTGCAAATGCAGAGACATGGTCTGGAATCTGAGACTTAGAAGGAGTGCTTAAGTGGCATCGTTGTTGAGTTTCAGCCACTTGAGGCATGATGTTCTCGGGTTGTCTCTGTCCTGCTTAATTGAGTGACTTGCGAAGTCCGCAGACAGCCCAGGATGAGCCTTCAAACTGCTTTACGCGTCCATGCCATCCATGCAAGGTTTTTCAAACCAAGGACCTCTCTGTCTCCGGCATGCGGATGGTGGTGGGCGACCGGCTTTACCACAGTCCTGGAGACCCTAAGGAGGTGCAGTGTTCCTTTTTTTCTCTCTGGCTATTCAAAATGATGATCAGTCTTACCGGATTCCGTATGCGTATGTCGTTCTCCTAATTAGCCAGTGTTACAAAATACTGCGACGGTGCATCTTCAGCAGTCATCACGTATTACATAGAAAGTGCATGAGATGTCTGGTTGAAACCGGTTGAGAGCCCGGTTTAGGATTTACAGGCTCGAGTACTTCCGACTGCACATCTTTTACAGGGCTCTGAAGTATTCTATTGTTGGATTGACCTGACCATTCGAGTCATGGCAGAGGCTGACTTTGCCTCACGCAACCCCTCCGGCAAGCAACCTCGTCCTGCTCCGAAAATGAAGGTTTTCTAGCCTGAAAACATGTCCGCGGTGTCAAAAAAGTTGGAACAGAAACCTGGGCCTAGTCGCAAGCAGGTGCTACCTAAATTTCTGCTGAGATTTAGACGGTCTGCTGCAGGTGGAAGGTGAGCGCGAACGCCCAGCTATAACGTTGCCGCTGTGGGCCTTTGACCAGTTCCTCGTGACAGCAGAAGGTAGCCCGCAGCAGTCTGGGCTGGGGACCTTGAGGTATTAGGTTGCTGCCGTTATGGGCTTTGTTTTTCGAATATGGTCCAATTTTCATTGCAGACGTCTTGCCATTCAGCAAGCTGCTCATCTTGGCTGCATTGAAACAAAAGATCGTTGGCACGTACAGTGTGAAGGTTGGAGAGTATCGCAATAACGTGAGCAGCCGACCTGGTACGCAATCCTGATGTTTGGCTACCTCTACCCTTGACCTCGAGGAACTAAGATGCCCGACTCTCGGTCCCAGATGGTTACACATCCCTTGAACCATGACACGAGTTCACGACCCTTGCAACAAAAGGTTGACATTTTGGTCCCTGAGTAGGTGAGCTCAAGCTAGGCCGAGGCCCAAGATTCCTGATATTGCGAACTGGTCCAGAGCCCACGATTTCCTTTAGGAAACCTGACATCCAGAATGGTCGGCGACCAAAACCCGGCGGCACCAGCATTAGTTCGGTAGTCAGCAGAAGAAGTGGCCGCCGTAGCTGTCAATCGGTGGCACTAGTAGAGCTTTGACCCCTTCTAAGGTGCTATTAAACTTTTTCTTAACATCCCTTGTCTTTTTTACATAGGGCCGGTGAGTTGGGGTTTCTCAGTCACTGAGTATATGCGGGTTGCAAAGCGAGATTGTGAGGATCCCGCTTCAGGATTGTCTGAGGTAAGTTTGAGGAACTGCGACAAAGTCCATGTATTGATGACTAATATTTTCTCTGTACGGGCCTGGCTGAGCCGGCAGGAGAAACTCCGCCAGAGCTCACTGATCCAGACCTGCCAAGCATGGGGCATAAGCGTGATTGGGCCAATATAATGACTTCTGGGAAGGGTTGTTGTGTGAGGGTTTTGAAAGATGCACTTGTCTGTTCTTCTTGGGGATGTTAGAGCCGGGGACATACGAATATGAGGGGTGTATCGGGGTGCCTATGGAGTGTAGATATGGTCAAGACCTCTAGGGACTTGTGCTTACAATCTCAGGTCTTTGTACTGAACGTGCTTCAAAATTAGGATTACGGGATTAAGGTTTATGCCTTGATTGTCGGTGTTTGGTGGAGTATATGCGAAATCGCTATGGTTGGACAAGACTGGAGTCAGCTTAGGAAGGTTGTGTCTTGCGACAGGATGCCTGTTGTCAAGCCGGCTTGGTACCTGTATGATGCAAGTCAGGGTCGTTGATGGCCAGTGTTGATGTCAAGCAACGCGCTTGAACTTTCGGGGTAGGTCTTTTCCCGCGAATATGAAGGGGGAAGCTCCTCCATCTTTGTGTTTATATGCACCCCAGTGCCGCCTGTAATGCAATAAAGGCCCCTAAATCCCGCAAACCCTCCGCCAGTAAATCCTAAAACCCAAAACCCCGAATGCCAAAGCGCCTCCATGGCTGTGACCCAAAATGCTCAAAAGATCGTAAGATCTTCTGTCAAGGCTTTAAGTCTGACAGCAGGGAAGCCTCAAACCCCAAAATCCATGACATCTAAAACACTAGCAATCACAAGTGCCATTGTCATTCTTTTGATGCCCGGTCGTTTTTCTTCAACACGGAGGTTGCGGTCAGATCCGGGAGTACCAGCGAGCGCTCAACGCCATCGAGCTGGTCCCCGGGCCCATCTTCACGCTCCTTGGGATTTGGATATCTTGCTTCAGTGTCCCTTTGGAGGTGTATACCTTGCAAGGTTGAGAAAGCATGGTTTTGGGAGGGATTGCGGCACAAACTTGGGGCTTCTTTTGAAGATTTCGCATGCCTGACCTCTGCGGTGAATGGCTTATGGAGTTACAGGATATGTGTTTAGAAATACCCCGAGATGTGGCTCAATGAGCAGAGCTTCAAGGTTCTGTCAGAATGCTCAGGTATCAGGTCACATTTTTTTTTGCTATGTCTCCCGTAGTCTATCGATATCAACACACCCAAACCCCGAAGCAATAGACAGGAGGATTCATCAGTAGTTTCAATTTACACTGTTGGCTGGGTACTGTTTATGGTCTGGCACCTGCACAGAAGAAACAGGACTCGTACATAATGGATGGAGGCTTTGAGAATGCTGGCTGGAGTCCATAATATATGAAGATATGCCTGTCGATGTTCAGTGTAGGTGGCTTCTGGTGTGCGAGCTTGGGGTGAAGATCTTGGCTTGGGGATTTTTGGTTTGACTGAGAGCCTTGGCCTGGAAGACTAGGTCGATGCACCTAGCACAAGTCGGAGGGTGTTGAATTTTTGGCATTCACGTGTTCATAATAAAGGTGATGGCCGCGGCTTACGGCAAGCCCCATGTCAAATCCCCATAAACTCTCTATATTGTCCCTATCCCTCCATCATTTCACATGTTCTTTGACCCTGTACGGTGACTCTCTGGTAGTCGTCAACCCCAGAACTATCCAGGTTCAAGGAGGGCCACACCTGTGCCTCAACTTCGAAAAAGGAGAGAGGATCCTCAAAATCCTCGGCTTCAGGGGGGCCTGAATCTGACAGCCACCGAGAAACATGTCAGGCCAGATGATGAATCCCATTATAACCTAGTCAGTCACTTCTTGGTGCGGACAACCCAAAGCTTCATACCCAAACCCGCCAACCCACAGCCCCTCAAATCAAGGCTGAAGAAACCTTGGCTGAAAGGTTCTGCTTCTGGGGTGTCAGCCGCTTTTGCGACGTCATCCAGTGGCAAGCCACTGGCATTCCCGTCTTCACACCCTTGGACCTGCTTCTCCGCTGGTGTTTAGGGGCATTCCCAACCTTCTGTCTCATATGTCCTGGAGTATCTACCAAAAGGAATTTCGACAGAAGCTGAAACCCGGTTTGGGTTCTGGGCTTAGGGTCCTTCAGGGTGCAAGAGTGCAGGCTGGTGTTGACGTATTCTGGAATGAATCATAGTTTACTTCTCCGGCGCATCAGCTTCCGCTAGCCCGAGTTGAGGACATGTTCTATTCCGGACGTGTTTCGCGGTTTTGGGGGAGAACTAGTGCAGGGCGACATTGGCGATTTGGAATCCAGCACATCAACAGCAAAAGCTACCACAAACACCTCTTTCAGGCTTTCAGGGATGATTGTCTTGGCTTGCAGGTGCCTAAACGGCCCGGATCACAGTCACGTGGGGCCTTTTTCAAAATCGATGGTAAGCTCCCGCATATTTGACTGTCTGTATTCCAGTCAGTGGACACTTGACAATACGAATCCTGTTGTTTCACTTTGAAAGTTCTGGACGATTGCTACAGTCGTCTCCTCACTGCAAATCACCAAGTTTCCTTTGAGTGGCTGTGCTGTGCAATTAGCTCCCGTCGAATCTTGCACGATCTTACAGGTCCAACGCAAAGCCTACCCGAACTTCACAGGACCCCTCAGGGTGGACGGCGGTTGCTCAAACCCTTCAGCCTACTTCAGCCTTGCTGAACTTGTCAGCATAACGCCGTGAAAAATTGAGGACTCAAACGTGAATGTTATTCCAGTCAGACAAGGAACCAATACTGTGGTCGGCCGCCTCTGCATTTCGTGCTTTACACTCTTACAGATTCGGCAGACGCTTGGCGAGTGTTTCCAGATGTGTTGTGGATTTCAGGCATAGGGATTTATTCTATGTCCACTGCTTGAGCTAGGGTCGGAGTCTACTGGTTTAGGGATTTGCATAGGGCGCCGGGGATCAGGAAGGAACGCAAGGGTGGCTTCTCATATCCTGACCATTCATGAGGCCGTCCAGCTTCCTTGCTCATAGCATATGAAGTTCATGCCGGGACTATCACGGAACATCAGCCAATTGTGGGTTCCATTTCATGCGAGCCAGGATGCTGTTGGGATCAGGGACATCGGTTTTATTGAAGGCGCTGCTTCTTGGAAAAGGCCTTCAATGCGAGTGGGCTGGATTATTCGTAGGAAAGACCTTCACAACCCTCACCATTGCAGGCTTAGCTGACTGCACAATCTCGGCAGAGTCTGCATGGACAAGTCCTTCCAACACAGCTAAAGTAGCCAAAGTCCCACAGATCTTTCAAGTCAGAGCGCTTGAGCGGTCAGGCCCGAGGTTCTCCAACGGTGCTACTACATGCAAGCGTATCTGTACTGCGTAGTATCCTCAGAAGAGTGGTTCTGATCTTGCAGCTCTTCAACTACCTGGTTTCGAGTCGAGTCCCTGCACTTGTCAAAGTAAACGGATGCTGTGCATACGCGCCCCAACACCCTACCATGATCTGGGTCCGAATGTGAAGCCACATGTAGACTTACTAAAAATCTCTGAGCCTTGGACCCCCAACCCCGAGCCCCATTCCAGCACCCCCAAACACCCTGCACCTCACACCAAGGACGGGGAGACAAGGCATCTCCAATCCCGCAAAACCTACTTCTTCCGGTGTGGATTCTGGAGCTCGCTACTTGCTAACAATTCGATTTTCACATTCCGAGCACATATATGCCCTGGTCTTGCGTTGTGGTGGGTGTCTTTTGGTTTGCACGAGTTGACGATCCTTCTGCACTTTGTGCCGTCTTAGCCATTCAGTTTCGACCTTGTGGCCCGAAGTCCTTGTCTGTTGCCTTGGCCTGCCCTGCATATGCAGGATCAAGTTCAGAGTTTGGTTCTGCCCCAGAGTGCTCTTCGTAGTTAGTTGTGAAGTTGCGTGATGAGCATGTGACTCCCTGCTGCATGCATGCCGGCCCTTGGCCAGTTCATGCTTGCATGCTGGCAGCTGTCTGCTCCGGCAGCGGGGGAATTTGTACATGGCAGCCTCGCATGCAGTTCTGGCTCCTGCCCATGTGTGCATCTCGTTCGTGTTCAAGATGGCATATCGCAGCTGCCCTGCGAAATACGTGCGCACGATCCATTGATACGTATGACTCCTATTTTCACATATAGACAGCACTGTCTAAAAGTGTTGCGGGAATTGCAACTTATGGACAAATGGTTTCTAGAACGTCTTTATAGGGGTCTGGGTTTGTAGAGGTTGGTGTGAGGTCTGGGACTTTGGGCCTCAGGGTTATGGAACGAGGTTCGGACTTTGTGATTGAGGGTTTACGATTCGAGGCTTGGTTTTCATGCCCTCATTCCTCAACTAGTTCGTATGGGCCTGAGCAACACAGTCCTGCAGCATAGATGGTTGATGATGATGATGATGAGGTTCATACAGGAATTGCACATTTTTATTCCCCACCCTCGCAGTGGGGTTGCTAGATTTTAAAGTAGATGTTGTCCTTGCCCGACTGGAAGCTGGCTTTAATGACCAACCACCAAGTATCCCTGCAGTGCCCAACCGCAGAGTATCCCTGCAGTGCCCAACCGCAGAGTGTCCCTCAACCGCAGAGTATCCCTGCAGTGCCCAGCCGCACAGTATCCTTAAATTGCCCAACCGCAAAGTATCCCTGCAGTGCTCAGCCACGAAGTATCCCTGCAGTGCCCAACCACAAAGTATCCCTGCAATGCCCAACTGCAAAGTATCCCTGCAGTGCCCAACTGCAGAGTATCAGGGCCCAACCGAAAAGTATCCCTCCAGTGCCCAACCGCGGAGTATCCCTGGAGTGCCCAACAGCNNTTGCAGTGCTGCAAGGAAGGGGGGCAGGGAAACGTTACACTTCTTTGCAATAACGGCTTTAGGGTCGGGATGCTCGAAGTAAATACTTTTTTACTTGGCAAGCCAACCCAAAGAGGGTCATGCTCGCACCTGCAGATGGTTAGTCTGGTAGAACAATCCACCCAATCAGCAACATCGGCCAGGATGAGACGGTGCTACTAACACTGGTAAGATGAGGCGCAGCTAAAGGACAGGAACTTTACACCGAGGGATCCGAACATCTGTAGATTCCCACCGAGATTTGGCTCGGATGACATTGCTCAGCCTGAGCATGTTTGCTGCAACATTTTGACATTCATCGCACCATCCGACCCCCATCCTGTCCGCTACATCTGCAAGCTCTCTTGTGAGCTCATGTCAGAGTTGCGGCACGATTTTTCGACCTCTGAAAGTCATCCCATGACCAGCCCAGCGCATGTAAGTTGTAGCTACCATCGTTCCTGGTGCAGAATTCGGCATAGTGACACAAGTCGACACAAGGTCCCCTTATGCCCCTTCGGTCGGTGCTAGTTTCGGACCCCTTGCAGTGGTTGGCGTGGCTAGGTGCATGGGGCGATCACTCGGGATAGCAGGAGAAGTAACTAGTTGCGCTCTGTTTGTGTTTGTTCAGGTCTCGCCGCGTTTGGTTGCTCTACATTTGCATGTACATATATATATATATTTATTCTTCAGGTGTTGTGTTTGCCAAACAGCTTTGGTCGCCAAACCCATGTTCATGCTTAGTCACAGTCTTGACCTGCGTTTCCCCCTTGCACCCCCACAGGTCTACTGCTATTCTGTGTGATACACGCGTATCGTTGGTGTCCCGTAATATCCTGGAGCCAACAATTTGCAATAAAGTAGGAGAAGTTGCATATCCTTTGATGCCGTGCTTCAATGACCTGAGGCTGAAGCGCCCTAGCAGCGAAGTCGTGCGGCGATTTGCCGGTCGATCGCTAGAGGCTGAGGGATGTTCGCAAACGCAAAGATTCTTGAGTTTGATGTTGCTGAACCCTCTCATTATCAAAACAACTCAAGCCTTGCACCCTCCACCAGCTTGAATCCTTAATCCCAATTCACGAATCAGCCAATCCTATGATCTTTGCCATCACGAATGCGTCAGTGCAAGATAACGACATCTGAAATTCAAAGCCTGCGAGTGCAGGCATCTGACCAGGGTGCAGTAGTCGTTCTGCCCTCTCAATCAGCCGCAAGGTGACACTTAGGTCAGGATTTCGGATCAGGTTCCTCATGGAGACCCAACAATGCTGATTCTACACTCTCAGGGCAGCCCTATGAAAGATTAAAGCTTGTAGTACCGCAACCTTAAGAGATCTGACCACAATAAATTTGCGAAGGCACTTCGAGGCCACGCAAAGACCGGACCGAAGCATGGGGTTAGTGCAGCTTGTTGGCTAATTAGGGCTAAAGAGGCTTACCCTGAGACCCCAGAGTCATCCTTGTGATACCTCAGGACTATAATGGGGAGCCCCTATGATCCTTCTTCAAGGTTTTCTGCTGCGTGAAGGGTCCAGGGTTCCCCAGTAAACCTTTGCAATAAACTTTCGGAGTCTTTGGCTGTTGGAGATGTGACTCGGGATTTCAAGGTGAATAATCAGGGAGTGGCCGAGAAGAGAGTCCTCAGCAAGCATTTCTTCAGCAGCAAGAGACCAAGAAAGAGAGAGAGAGAGAGAGAGAGAAAAAAAGTTTTACAGCTCTGTCGAGAAGGAAAGGGCCTGTACTGGGGCCACATAGTTCGCTTTTGTGGGGTGGGGGGCCCTTAATGGTTCGGCTTGGGGATCTCGGTACGTGGCGCTGGTACATGCGGTATTTCACCTCCGGAGTCCCGACGTACCTGAGACCCTGCGGCGCGGGGCTGTGCTGGGGCCGTCGGGCCATCTAGCAGAAGAAGAACAGAGAGAGCGAGAGAGAGAGCGAGAGAGAGAGGGCTCTCGCAGCCCCTGCTGCAGTGAAAGCGGCCGCGGCATGTCGAGCAGAAAATATTTCCTACAAAGACGCACTGAGGGATTCTGAAGAGCCATTCCTGCTGGAGATTAGTGCAGTCAAATGCTTGCACTTTGTGCACTGTTATAATTCTTCCCCCCACTAATTTTGGTGTTTGGGCAAATCTCCACTCAAGTGCTGGCCACTGAACTCGTTAACCAGCCACAGGTCTCCAACAGTTCCTCGAAATAAGAAAGCCAACAAAAACGAGACGGCCACAGTTTTGCTGACGGGGACAGCAAGCCCAAATTCACGCACAATTACGTTGTGGACACAATTACCCCAGAGCAGTGCGCCAGCCAATAATTGCTCACTACAAAAAATGAGGCCAGAACCCATTAACCACATTGCACCTTATCTCATGCTGCATTCGATCGTGCACTCTTACTGGTCGCAACCACCTTCAAGCCTCATGGTGAAACCTGCCATGTGGAAGTGAAAGGTTGATTTCACCAACAGATCAGCCCTACAAGGGCTGGGCAGGTGCCCGCGGGTACCCAAACTGGGTCTCCTCAGAGCCCGAATGAAAGAAAAGAAGAGAGAGAAAGAGAGAGAAAGAGTCCACAGTTTCACCCTCAAAGAAAGAAAGAAAGTCCAAAGTAGCCTCAGTAGCCTCATGCACGCAGTCAACGTAAGACGGTCCACTTTTACGGGGTGTTACAAGTTTCTTGAGTGTTGTTTGCCAACTTTGAACTGCGCTGTCGTTAGCCAGCGTGTCTCACCTAAACCCTGGCCACCGACACTTGGTACAGCAAACTAAGCCCCAATTCCAAGTACTTGTGTTTGTTCAGGTAGTCACCACAGTGTCCGGATCGAGCCAGCAGCCCTGGTTAACAAATCAGGCTAATGCCCCATCACAAGCAAATTTCCTTTCAAGCTCACTGCCTACACCACCTTTTTGGTAGGGACAACTACGCTTGATGGGGAGATGAGGGGTCTAGTTCTACAGACGTTCGGCGAAGCCCAACACGGGCTGGGCAGGAGCCCGAGTTGGCCCTAGCGGTCAACCCATAGCCCGCACGAAAGAAAGAAAGAAAGGGAGAGGGGGAGAGGGGGAGAGAGGAGAGAGGCGGACATAGGATGGGGGAGGGAGGGAGGGAGAGAGGCAGGGAGTACGGGAGAGAGGTGTGTTTACTTGTGAGTCGACAGCTCGCGGCCAGCTGAGGCGGGGACCTCTCAAGGAGTGACGTTGTTCGGCATGAACCTTTTTCAATGCTGTGTCGACAGACCGGTGTCTTAGACACCTGAGTCATTTCTTCACTTCAGCCTGCGAGATTGATGGCTTCCGCCGAGAAAGCAGAAACCTTAGCCTCTGAAGGAACCTCAGCCGCTGCAAGTTATCAATCTGGCAAGCTCGAAGGCTTCAATGTTTGCTTGATCTCACGTGGATGTGCAACAGACCTTCAGATGTATATTGTGTGAACTAGATCATATAGTCAAACTGTGAATGGGCGTGTGAAGACGAGGCTTAGACGGGCTGGTGGCCGAACTCTGACGGCCCTTTAATCAGGCTTCTCAAAGCAGGAGAGTGATGTCGAACTCAGGGCTGCAGTGGACAGGCTTGGCATACAGCCCCCACGGTCTGTTGCTGAACACCTGCAGGCTCCGCATCTACTCATGGCTCATGCGCTAGCCTTTGTCCAGAGAGTCTGGGCGAGCGGGGCTGATCGAAAAGAAGCTCCAATTTTGAAGCTCCTGCGAAACTCTTTCGAATTCAGCCGGGTTCGTGGGTAAACTGAGCCACTTAAGCCCAAACACCGTGCAGGCTTCAGTAGCGCACCAGAGCAGGCCTTCTAGTCTTCTTTGTTGAGACTGTCTTTGC